GTCAGACAACGCCTTGGATTTGGTTATTGGCGTCAATCTCATTTGTGTCTGCGGGCTACCCCAGTTATTTAGCGCCGAACGTCTTGCGACAGCACGTAGATTTCAACCTGGACTTGGTCTGCCCGTTCGATCTGACATATCTCGGCTCGGGATCCCTCTCTCGGCTGCCCATTCTCACCATCCCCGCCTTAATCCTGGTCTTCTTCTTCATCTACGGCCTCTTCGCTATCCCCGTAGGTTTTATAACAGAAGCGGCAGTATCTCCTATTACTAAAGGCAAGAGAAGTGTTGAAGATGATCCCATTCTGCGCTGGTCCAACCTGCTCTCTCGTTTGGGTATTTATTGTGCCGTTTCTTTTCACTACTCATTATAGGGAGAATATCAATTGCTTTTACCCCTTTCTCAACAGATATGGAAGATGGATTTTCATACGTGGGAATCAAGGAGGATTCTTGCAAGCACAAAATCATCTGTCATATGCACCGCATTGTACCAACTCTTCCCAATTCCATCATTCAACTTTACCAACTCATCAGGTTAGCTGTCGAAGTCCCTAACTCATACTAGTATCTGTTAATCAAATTTTTGTCGTCCTTTTCCAGCAAAAGGCTGAAGAATGCCGAAAAGTACGAGGAGCCAATAGAACTTGGGTTGCAGAATGGTGACTGCGACAAAATTTATTACAATTGCACGGAGTCCGTCTCAAGTCTTTCCAAAGGTCTTCCCGTACGAATGAAGAATGTGGAGACATGATTATCTCGGGGATACCTTAGGTCATCGACCTTTTGTGATACGGCGACTGTGAAATCCATATATATGTTATCTATCGACCCCTCCCATATTTTTACAAATAAAGATACTCTATTCCTCAGTGAGATTTTCAGTTGAATATCCAAGTGAACAAAGCGGACAGTGACGTCAAGGAAGATATATATACTCCCTGTACTTCAGGTCGATGAGGACTGGGTGATTGACCTAACAAGTACCAGACGGACATCTTCGAAAGTTTTTCCTTAGGCGCCATAGGTCGCCCGGCCTCGGCGGCATCGGGATCTCCGGTGAGGATGTGTCGGTCGACGAGGACTCTATGGGACGAGGAGATGGACACGGTCGTGTGCATCGGGCTCCCCATTCCAGTTTCTGTACTTTTTAGTACTGCCCTTATTTATGAAGATGAAGGTTCTGGATAAGGAAGAAATGGAGAGGTAACACGTCATCCTTCTCCAGCTCTGAACTTCACCTGTGAAGACGAACAGCCAATCATGGTGAGTCCAACCGTTCCATTTACACATTGACACGGAGATTATCCAAGCTACATCTGTACTAAATCCTCCACTGTATGCACGAGTCGCACATTCTTTGGTTAAATTCCAGTGGTTTCAACCCTATCGACTCACGTGAAACCAGTTCTTAAACTCTTCGCTTATCGAAATCTGTACATTCACATGCTTCTTTGAATTACTCTTCATCCACTTTCGATTAAGCCAAACTGCGTATGAATTGAACAGCTTTACAATGATATGCCATTACCTACGATCGGGCCCTGGAATAACGCGAAATTATCGGCCTAGACAGAGTGGCGCAGGAAGCTTGGAGTTATAATCGTGGAAAGCATTGGCAGCTCGAGATATTCAGCAGTAGTAGATCGTCAATGGAAGCAGATGGGCCTGGGCCTACCGTACCTCCATTGACGATCATGGTGGAAAGGAATGTCACGCAGCCGGTTGAAAGTTTTTCAGCTCTTCATGCTTTAACAACTCGAGACTTATGAACTTTTCTGGAAGGCTGTGGTTGGGCATTCTTACGAGGGGAAGAGGGACGAATTTTAATTTTTTCAGGATGTGAGAAGTTAAAGGATCGCTGAAAAGAAATTCCTCCCTCAATCCATTCAATGGGGGCGCGGGGGGGGGGGGACCTCCCTAATATTGAGTTACTCACGATTTAAAACTGGTTCTCACCCATCCCTGGTGTCAAAGCATCTCTTAGCATAACGTCTTGAAAACATTGTGATTTCACAGCCGCTTCATTCTTGCTGCACGATCAGACTAAAAAAGCGTGCCTAATCCAGGCATTTGTACCGAAACCCAATTTCCCGAATGAATTTCAGTTGCCGCTTATCCATTTTCTCTCATCTAAATACGAAATGGAGGAAGTCTAAAATCCAGGGTGCCGAAAATATTATTTTTGCGCGAAAAGCCTGTTGGATACCACTTGCAAGCCAAAAATTCATTAAGAACGCCGCTTTCTGAATGTGCAGCGCCTATACTATCTTTCCTTTTCGAAGAAAAATGAAATGCGTCAAAAATTAATTACAAGCCATATTAAAGAGAGTGATGCATACCTTTTGGGGAATGCCAAACGGGCAGAATGTACCTGGCCACTAACTTCAGAGCACATAGCAGAAAACAACCATTGTCAAAAACCAGACCATAAAACAACCTGCAGATTTGGAAAATACTTCAAGTTAATATGAAGGGAGGACAGTGAAGGATTCAATCCTAGAACGTTGCCCAAGAGCGTCTTCAAGGGTTGAGGCCACAACTCGAGAAAAAAACATTGCAATCCAAAATTGTTGCGCCATCAGGTGTTAGAACAATAAATTTAAGTATCAGTGGCGGCTCGTGATATTTGGCGCTAGTGGTTAGTCTATGGAGAGGGGGTAGGCAGCGACCTCCTCTGCCTACCCCCTCTCCATAGAAGAACCACTAGCGCTCAATATCACGAGCCGCCACTGTTAAGTATATATAGTTCTATGCAAGATTTGAAAAAATACTCGCAGCTCGACGAGACACCACTGCGAGTGATCCATTACCTCGGTCAGCCTTGTAACTGAAACATATAATCTGACCTAGGCCTATCAAAAACAGAGCTAGAAAGAGAATAAATTCAAAATGGGGCATTCATATGTATTTGTATATATCCAGTATATATACGCACACTCACGGATTCGTTGTTGGTTATTCTCTTCCACACAGGGATCCATAGTCCTGGGCCTGAACCAATTTCCAGTTCTGGAATTCGACGCCACAGACGTGGCTCATACGATCCAGAATCTCCTTTATGGAGTGTGCATAGTTTACATGTTCTGGCATATGCTTCTACCCATAGTAGCCCTGAGCCTCAAAGAAGTCTTCTGTGTCTTCGAGACGGCGGATTGTCGAGATCGGTTCAGGATCGGCGATCCGACGCCTGAATTCGATGAATTCTTCGTCTTTAACCCCGATAAAACCAACGAACTCAACATCCGGGGCAGGAAACGGAGGAAAAAAAGACGACGACGATCCATTTCCTTCTATTATTCCCATCCTCATCGGTCTCTTTATTCTTTTCAATAAAACAAATCTGTCATCGACTGCTTTCTTCACCTATCACGGGAAGACACTGGGAGAACTTGGACCAAATATCCAGATTACGAAAACGTACGAACCAGCGATAGCAGCCAATTATGATATCCAATACCCCGAGTGCTTTGTTGGTATTCTATAGGAATGAGGTGAGAGGAGAATATGGAATTCACAGCTGACGCATCGTTGACCCACGTGCATGACATCATAGCCCCATCTCCTAATTGCTTCACTAACATCTACCAACATGTCTCGTCTCCCCATCCCCTTTTTGCACTGTAACACAAAGGCCGAGGGAATATCTTTCATGTGAAGCCATGCAGTATTTTCGTTTCCGATCCATTTGGCCGGGGATCCCGCCGAAATCGGCAGATTAAGGAATCCTGTATGGGATCAATAGGCAATGACATAGATCTGTCACAACCACTTGCGATGGTTTTTTTTGGCACCATTCAAAGCACTACCCATCGTGGTCTAATATATCTCTAATCCCCCCCCCCTTCTCGAATTTTCGTCTCGGAGGAAACTCGGCTCCCTCGAGATATCAGAGGATAGTAGCTCAGAAGGCAAGCGTCACTCCAATTGAGCTTTTTCTTTCTAGACCTTTTTCCTTTCGTCTCTGGCGCCATTTGTTTGCTCAGAGCTGCCTTTATGAAAGGGATGTCGGGAGGAGAAGATTGCCGAAACCAATAATATCTGCTGCTGGAGTGCGGTCCTTTCGACACTCTTCCTTTTCCCTTTTCTCTCTCTTAAAGCAAGGCCGTCCAACTTCTTGGGCTGTCGAGGCAAAGACTCAGAGCCAGGGGTAACCATTGGCGTGCAGACGCCTATGAGTTGGTCTGACCCTTCCCGAGCCATGCTTCCTGTCCTCAACTATCATGAGCTAAAGCTATTCTTGTGCTCGCTTTATTTATTATCGAATTCCCTAATTTCAAAGTTAGGTATCGTGACCTATAGATACCATCTATCTGGGTGACTCCATTTTTGAGATCCGCGAGGTCAAAATCCCGTGAAGATTTGGCCTCCTTTGTTCCTTTTACCTAGACTTCCCAACGCGGTGTTGCTCCTCCTCTGCTGAAGCCTGACAACGAGTTGAGTTGGATTCAATTGTGATTCTAAACTTTAGATAATTTACGAGTTTTGTTTAAATAGACGCAAGTTCAGGACATCATGCACACCACAGAAAAGAACAAATGGAGCTTGGCTGGGCACGAGCGCGGAAATCACTGGTGGACAAAATCAGTTATCGAACGGCAACCAAGAGAGGGAATACGTTCAAGGGGAAAACCAATGAGGACAGGGAGTGATGAAAGCAGTTAAGGGAGGTTTTCGTCTCGCACAACAATGAAGCCTACCTTTTTATACTTTTAACTCGTGATTGTATCTGAACTATTCTTAACACCTTCGCTGCAGAGATTCCTTGTTGGGAAAATCCTCTTTTCTGCATATCTCTATAGCAAAAAGAGGAAATTTTCGGGAAAACTTAATTCTTTATTTCAAAGAACCCTGTCTTTCACAACTTTAAATGGTTTCTGGACACTTCTAAACTTTTACTAAGTGGACTACATTCAAGCACAACTATGAAAGGTAATGCGGGGTAATTACCTTCTCATATCATTCATCTAGCTATCCTTTTAACGACTGGAATAAGAATTGCTTTCCCTCCCCATCACCAGCATTCTGTTTCTCCCTTTTGTATCCTTTATTGACTTATTCTCTGCCAAGCCTAGTAGCAAAATAAAAACTGACGAAATCAAGCTGGTGAAAATTATTAATATACCAAGACCATTCCTTATCCTGCACTGAATGCATAAAAAGTGCTGAAAACAGGGGAGAACTAGCCTAATATAAATGCGCCGAGAGGAAAGGCGAATATTGTTGCATCAGTTTTGCAGAGGCTGAAAGATAACGTGTCTATGAGACAAAAAACTTCAGTCAAGAAAGAGTGGCTGCAGCTTAAGAAACAGAGTAAATTGTTAGATCCCGAGTGAAGCCCTAAAGTGAATGAAACAAGTGAACTGGACCGCATTTATGCATTTGGAACGATCACACTTACCATCACACCTGATTTAATGGGGTACGTTTGATCAGCCTTGCTATGCTCATGCTTAGCAAGAATGGAAATTCAAGGACTAGATTGAAGCGTTGTGGAATTTACTTCGCAATGATACAAAATATTGATTTTTATTTAGCAATCCTGATAATTCTAGAAAAATTGAAATAAATTCTCCGATCCAGTTCTGAAGTTGAAAGAGGACACTCAAATATCCTGTGAAATATCTCTCAATTGAATCAGTGAAATTTGACTGGATATGATGGGAAGAGTTGACAAAATACCACGTTAGAATAGAATTCGTACCACGTTAGCCCATTCGTATCCAATGACTTACTAGTCCGCCATTGGAAACGAATGGGTTACAAAACATAGCTTTTAATAAAAGTTGCCTTTAGTAACTCATCCGTTTCCAATGACGTTAAAGTTATACATCCGCAGAAGTAGCAGCCATCTCATCATTGCCTGAAGCATTCTGCGCACGCACTACCGGGCAAGTAAAAGAGACATGGGCCTTGCATAACTTGGACTGACCCACCGCGTTCCTGTAGTCAAGTCGGATATGCCTATCCCACTTCACTTTACCAGAGCCCTTACGTGCCTGGATGGCCTCATCGACATTGTTAGGTCGCCTACGACTCGTTTATCACGGATATGAGACAGGACAGGATATCGAGGGAGTAGATAAATTATCGGACGGAGACTTGGGAGGTCGCAGTGGTTTAAGGCAAATAAACGTCCGGAATTTTTTTTAATGTAATACTCTAAATGAGGCCTTACCAGCGACTTGCACAGCAGAAGGATATCGTGTGAGCTCATATCGGTAATTGAACGTCGGATAAACCCGAAATTCCATTAGATAAAGCTACCGTCATTACTGTGCATGTTCAGACATTTTCAGTCTCTCATCAGTAATAACTAGGGCTGTCACGATAGGTCGATGCATCGATACCGCTATCGATAGTTGGAGATATCGATCGTTTTTTCAACCATCGCGATGTATCGGCAAAAGATTTTAAAGGGGAAATGTCCCATTGAATTGAGACAATCCAGCGGATGCTGAGCAAATAGTGCCTATACTCTGTCCTGTCCTATAGCTCCCTCATCTATTTAATAGCCTGCCTCTGAACCCTCCAGCGTCACCAAATTCCGTTTATTTGCAGGCCTTAAAAATTTAATGTAATACTCTAAATGAGGCCTTACCAGCGACTTGCACAGCAGAAGGATATCGTGTGAGCTCATATCGGTAATTGAACGTCGGATAAACCCGAAATTCCATTAGATAAAGCTACCATCATTACTGTGCATGTTCAGACATTTTCAGTCTCTCATCAGTAATAACCTCTGAATTACTACTGAGAATATCCTCGGTAAACGCATTCAAAGACTTAGGGGAGGCAAGACAAATTCCTGCCCTGTCATGAAGTCCGCTCCAAATGTCCGTTCTCAAAACGTGAATGAACATGGTGTGTATTTTCCTCTCAAATGATATTGGATTCCAAAACCATCAGTCACAAAACGTAGGTGAGAAGACGAATTTGAAGCTCAAGGGGGTCGACATTTGTCTCACATACCCTATTGTTATTAGGGTCGATGAGGGGAACTTAACGTTTACTCTGATCGTGCTTCACTGATCTTTTTTACTTTTACCCAACTCATTCAATAGCTTCAAGCTCCCTCCGGTTTCGATCCTTCGATCCTTCTTGCTCGTAACCGGAAAACCTACTTTCATATCGTTCTCAAATGTTCTAATTTTACCCATAGGCCCATGATTTAAGCAACTAATGTAAGCAACAACAAAAAAAAGAAGTGGTCCATGATTAAGCTCTGAGGAACTCCGCCCAGGACCTCGACTTCTGAAGATATTTTCCCATGTGCAATTACCCTTTGTTCCCTCTCGGATGACTGATTACTTATCTAATTACACATGCTACGTTGAATCCCATGCACCTGTAATTTAACAGGTTCATCCCATCGCGCAACACATCGCCTTGTTCGACCCTCTTCATGACACACCGCACGCCAAAAATGATTGGAATCCATCTCAGGCTTGTCTGGGATGCGAATTCGATTCACGCGGGAATCCTAAGTAGGATTATGCCATACAAGTAATTATCCATATATTCATGAATGAAACGGAAATTGAACAAAATTGGATGACTGAACAAATGCATTTCTCCTCCTGCTTCATTTCCCAAGAATTATGGTAATGATGCGTTCCTGATGTAGGCCTAGAATTGTTGAAAATAATTTCCAGGGTGTCTACTATGGCTTGACTCATTTCGTTAGGTGAGATAATGCAAAACTCATAAACTTTATTATTGGAGCGTTAAGCAGGCACAACTATCTGAACTAGATTATCGTTTGACAAAAGTCTGCCTTTAGCGTGCTCTCGCCAAGAGAAAAGTTGGACATCCCTTGCTGCTTCAAGGTCTCATAATCCCCAAATCGAAGAGTTCTCTCTCGATATAGAGTCCACGGCGTCGTCAGCATTTTCTCGCATCCCATATCCAGCAACATCGGCTGGAAGTGGCCGCAATCCATCATAGAGAAACGTTTCGTACGAGCTAGAGAAAGGAGCCGTAACTGTTCGCTCTCCCAGGTGCTTCCGGTCCCAGGATGAATGCGATATTAGGCGTGACATGCTGACATCTGCCACATATGCCGGACTCGGAACGGGGGTGTTTGAGTCCGCGGATTCGATCGCCGTATGGCCAACCATTGCACTCACTTACCTATCGTTGGCGAGGGAAAAGGAGAAAATGGCTCCGGCGTTATATTCGTCTTGTTCTAATGATACGAGGAAGGTGAAATCCGATGACGATCGTATCATGGTCTCGACTTCCGACTGCACTTCCGGGCTCACCCTCAGCTCCCTTTCGCTGTCGCCTACGTGGAAGCAATCGGCGTTAATACTTAATAGAGCCCAAGAAACTGTTGCGTGCTGGACGTCATAATCAATGAAGGACAGGGGGGCCAAGCACGGAGCCTGGAACGAGTCAAAGCATTGTGAGTTTCTGGGGGAGATGGTTCCCCTAATGCCTATTTTGGTAGGCATGGGGCAGGGATTTCGTGCCGGGATGCAGGGTGTCATTATGACTTCAAGAGCCACGATCACGCGAACCC